TTCTTCCCCAGAGTGAGTCTTGGACCAGGGCAAGTGCATTTTTGCCTCAACTCCAGGATTCAGGCCTTAACACACTGGCCATTCTTATGTTCCAGATGGCCCCCAGCTAGTGTCCTGCCCGCCTTTCATCTGGATTCTACAAAAAACCAGGATGCCCACCATTAGGATTCATGCAGAAGTGTCTGTACCTTGGGTGGGAGGTATGGGGCCATCTCCTTCATCATGGCTACCATGATCACTCGTAGGAGATGTGGAGTGAGAACAGCATTTAGTGAAGTTGTGCGGTGGCCAGGGTTGTGCTTTCTAGCAAATATGCTATTATGTCCAGAAATTCTGTGCAAGAAAACTAGGCAATGTGCTCTTTTGATGTTTGTGTCACACACTGCTGTGACTTTTATATGCTTTTTCTCAGATCTGGTTTCTAAGAGTTTGTGGGGGTGGGGGCAGGGCTGTCACCATGTGCAGTATCTCAAAACGTTCAAGTGGCCGGAGGAGCCTGTCCGCCTCTGAAGAACAGAATTCTCCCATTGTCAACACAAAATCCATGGGCGGCATGATGGCAGTTCCTCTGTTGCAAACTCAGTTCCAATGTCACAGGAAGAAAGCAGAAAGTTCAACTTCCAAAGGGTTAGGACTCTCCACTCAGTGACTTATGAGTTGTGTCTAGGCTGGAAGAGCCAAAGAATATTCCATTTTCCTTTCCTTGTGGTTGAAAACCACAGTTGGTGGAGATGTGGTTGAAAACCAGTTGGTGGAGACATGTTTGAAAACCACAGTTCGTGGAGCCTAGGTGGTGCCCAGGCGTTAGCATTATTGGATGTCACTAGGATTGTTTTTGTCATGTAGCTGTTTTAAGAAATCTGGCCCAGGGCATTTGCAGCTGTGAGAAGTCACTCACACTGGCCACAAGGATGCGGCTACTGTCTGTTAAAATTCTGATGTTTCTGTGAAATTCTCAGAGTGTTTAATTGTACTCAATAGTATCATTTACAATTTTCTGTAAGAGAAAATATTACTTATTTATCCTAGTATTCCTACCCTGTCAGAATAATAAATATTGGAACCAAGACATGGTAAACGTGTGTTGTGCTGGTTTCTGTTCATTTAAATCTTATTGGTTGTCAGATCCAGTGATTCCTGCCCTGCCCTCTCTATTATGGGGGTGTCTGGCTTTCAATTTCTCTGGATGTCATCCTTTGCTCTTTGGGGCACCACTAGATGGAACAGTTGATTTCCAGTCCTGTTCCTCAGTCCCGGGTACCTTATGCTCCATTTCTCATTGACAAACCCTGAAACAAGGTACCAAATATATCCTTTAGATTCACAGTTTGGTGTTTAGAATTTTGATATAAAATCTGATTTGCTAGATAGCTTAACTATATTTTCTCTGAATGTACAAACACCTAAAATCTACACCTGTTGTTCAGCTTGAACTTTGACCCCTAACTTTCTGCCACAGAACTCCTCACTCACTCACTTGCGTTACATCTGTTATCATTTCTAAATGTGTGTCTCATTGTCGGAAATATATATCAGAAAAGAATGGGAAGGGGGACCAGAGGAAGAAAGAGAGTAACTTTAGACAGCATGGGTGTGATAATTCAAAGAAAGGTATTCCACTGAAATTCCTGGAATTTCCAGGGCATGTGATTCTTGAGGCCTATGAGAGCCAGGCCCCCTTGCTCTTTGTGCTTCTCTATAAGTCACAGGCTAGACATAAAAACTGGCCACTCGCCACGGGTGCCATTCTTCAGAGACACTGCCTTCTTCAAATGTCAGATTCATTCATGAATTTCGTGCCTACTTCTTTGACCTCATGTATGGTTTCTTTAAATGATCACTTGTGACACAGATGTCCTCATTTTACGCTTTTAATTGCACAGCAGGGGTCTTTCCTAATCTGTCAAGAGCCATCTGGTGTTAATACCATTCACCTCTTCTTTCAGGAGATAATCTATGTTCCTTATCTTGGTGGAGGGGAAAACATCCCTTGCATTTACCTTCTAGTTATGGGTAGAGGCAACAGCCACCAGCCATTATGAAACTCAAGACAATTTGTAAGCTGTCAAGGACAACAATGGATGAGGGAGGAAGGAAGTTGGGGGTGGGTGGTGGTTACAGCCAGAAAACTTGATGGGTATGGTAAGTGTAAATGAAGTTCTATCACAAATGCATTAAAAATAGTTTTGTTTTATGTAGCCAAGTTTATGTTTTGATACTTTAATTTTTAAAAGGATGACTACACATTTATTAAGTCATTTCGTTTTTTTGTTTCACATTTAAAGGAGAGGGAAGGTGGGGGATCTGAAGGAATCAGCTTAGATGGCACCACCACCAATATCAAGCACCCCGTTTGACAGTGCCTTTGCACCGAGCTCTCTCCTGCTGGTGGTGGTGATGTCACACTACCAGGGTGTGGAAAGCCACCCTCTCTCCCCTCTCTTGCCTTCCTCCTGCCCCCTTGCCTTTCCCTGAGAGCTTCCTGACACCTGTTTCAGAGTCAAGAGCTTTTAAAGGGTTCTGGCCCAGGATGGGTTCTGGAATTGAATCTTTCCACCTTCTGTTAACTAAAATACTATTTTCCATTTGTATCCTAATTTCTCCCATGGGCTTTGAATAAACCCTCCACACTCCAACCCATATCAAGCTTTCTCCTCTCTTCTGTGTTCCATACCCTCTGGTTGGCTTCATGTACTGTTTCTCTCTGGAGTGAACGCGTTTCCAATTAGAATCCACCTGAAAGGAGGTCACATTTGCCTACTGAGCATCCTGTGTTCTTGTGATGGCTCTGACTCCGGAAGCTTTCAAAGGTCTCAACAAACACAGCTTTCAGGAAGGAATGTACACTGAGGTTAAAAGGACTGTTGAGGACTAATGCTGACAGAAACATTTACTGAGTAGGACAATACGCTAAACACTTTACATGTGTTATCCCATTCAATCCTCAACAACTTCCATCCCAGTTTTACAGGTGAGGGCGTGGAGAGCTCACTAGCTTGCTCAAGGTCTCACAATGGATCTTTCCAAAGTTGAAGCCTATTATTTTTTTCAACCACAATGGCTTCAAACAAGAGTATATACATTTGTGTGTGTGTGTGTGTGTGTGTGGTAAAATATACATAAAATTTGCCATTGTAACTATTTTGAAGTATACAATTCAGTGACATTAGTACATTCACAGTGCTGTATAACCACTACTATCTAGTTCCAGAACCTTTTCATTGTCCCCAAAGGAAATCCTGAATCCATTAAGGAGTCACTTCTCATTCCCCCTCCTTCCAGCCTCTGGCAGCCACTAATCCGTCTCCTGTTTCTATAGACTTGCCTATGCTGGCTTTCATGTAAATACAAGCATACAATATGTGGCCTTTCACACAATATGGCTGGCTTCTTTCACTTAGCATAATGTTTTCAAGTGTCAGCCTGTCGTATTATGTAATAGTACCTTATTTCTCTTTATGGCTGAATAGTATTCTGTTGTATGGATACTCTACATTTTGTTTATCCCTTCATCAGTGGATGGACAGGTGTGTGTGTGTAAGAAAGAGCTAGCCTTTATCTTCAAGGACTGAATCTCTAAGGTAGGATTTCGGGCCTAACATTAAATTGGGAGAAGAGAGAGGTGGAAGCAGGAGCTTCAGGTAACAGCTTGGAAATTACTTATTCCTGGGCTAGCTCTGTGGGTATGGCAAGGCAGGAGGTATAGCGGCACCTGTTCCCCATTGGTGAAAATGGCTTCCAAACTACTTCTGCATGGTAGAGAGGTTAGTAGAGGAGGGCCTTTGATAGGCTCCTGGAATGTAAGCTCACATCTTCCATCCTACCCTTTTCTCCCCGAATTTCACAGGGTAGGGGATAAGAAGGGTGGGGGGTAAACACTAGGTGCTTTGAGAGAATATCTGGGCTCCCCAACACAGGATATTGGTACAAGCCTGATGGAGGGGAGGAACAGAGGTGGCCCCCTGAATAATTTAATCCCCTTCCTGAAGTGGTTGTCCTGGATTCTCGGTAACACACACACACACACACACACACACACACACAGAGACAGAATTAATTATGCAACTATTTGGCTTTCCCAAGCTTTTTTGTAAGCTCTGTAGTGGTTCAGAAGGAAGACTTTAAAAGTAGCAAGACCTGATTCAAATAATGCCTCCACTGCCTAGGAGTTCTACAAATGTAGGTAAGTTACACAACTTCAGTTTTACCTGTAAGATGAGAAGAGTTGCAATAGTATCAAACTGGAATGGAGTTTGATACATAGTATGGCGCCTAGGAGAGGCAATCTCATGTTAGTATTAAAGGTTATTACTAAAGATTTCTATCCTCAGCATGAACTGAGATTTTATGGAAGAGTGGGCTGAGAACCAAGACTGCCAATACTAGGTTAAAAAAAGAAAATTAAACCAGTCCTGGGCAGTGGCTCATGCCTGTAATCCAAGCACTTTGGGAGGCCAAAGTGGGCAGATCACGAGGTTAGGAGATGGAGACCATCCTGGCCAACATGGTGAAACCCTGTCTCTACTTAAAAAAAAATACACAAATTAGCTGGGTGTGGTGGTGCAGACCTGTAGTCCCAGCTGCTTGGGAGACTGAGGCAAGAGAATTGCTTGAACACGGCGGGTGGAGACTGCAGTGAGCTGAGATTGCACCACTGCACTCCAGCCTGGAGACAGAGTGAGATTCCGTCTCAAAAAAAAAAAAAAAAATTAAACCATGTACTCAAATGGTTCAAATGTATCCCATCATCTTGCGTTCCTATTGACCCCATGTAGTTGCTGAATCTTTTGAATTAGGGATGAGGAAGGGAAGCAACCACATAGCATTTTCTCATTTGAAAAATTTTTATTTTGGCACCCACCCAAGTATCTTGTTCTCATAGAGGACAGGCTGTCCTCTATGAGGGCAATGGAGTATTAGTGAGAGGCTGGAAGCCCTGGCCTGGGGGATGAGAACAAAGGGGTATGTGACAGCGACAGGTCACAAAGGGAAGCAGAAGATAAATATGGCTGCAAAGGGGGTTTAAGCAGAGAGGGTGGTCACTTCCTGTCACTAGGACTACAGTTTGGAGACTCAGGGAGAGTCTACAAATTGTCGTTAAAAAAAAATCAGAGGTGGCGGTGAGGGGGTTAGACTCAGAAGAAAATTTCTCAGGAGCCCACCCTGCATCTCTACATCTTGGAAGAGTCGGGAGTCCAGGTATCCTCCAGTGTCCTGCATAGCAATCATCGTGCTCCCACCCCCACACCAGCCTCTGGGAGGCTCTGAGGCAATGGCAGGGGCCTGTGGGGTGGGGTGGGATTGAGAGACCAGCTGCAGAGCCATCTTTATGTTCCAGGGGCATCACTGGTTCCTCCTCTGCCACCAAGGCCAAGGAAGACACAGAGACCTGCCTCCCCAGCGCTGCCCTCGTGCTGAGACAGCCATGATCAGTGATGCTCTGCTGCCATATTATACAGCCCAGAGTGGCTCTGGCATGAGCATGTTCAACACCGCCATGGGGAAACTGCAGCAACAACTGTACAAGGGAGAGTATGATATATTCAAATATGCACCGATATTTGAGAGCGACTTTATCCAGATCACCAAAAGGGGAGAAGTGATTGATGTGCACAACCGTGTCCGTATGGTGACCATGGGCATTGCGCGTACCAGCCCCATCCTCCCATTCCCAGACGTCATGCTGTTGGCGCGACCGGCCACTGGCTGCGAAGAGTATGCTGGACATGGCAAGGCCACCAAGAGAAAAAAACACAAGGCAGCAAAGACCTTAGAGCTCACTAGGCTCCTCCCCTTGAAGTTTGTAAGGATCTCTGTTCACGACCATGAGAAACAACAGCTGCGCCTGAAATTTGCCACTGGCAGATCTTGCTATCTGCAACTGTGTCCCGCTCTCGACACACGGGATGACCTGTTTGCCTATTGGGAAAATCTAATTTACCTCTTGCGGCCACCCATGGAGAGTAACAGCGGTACCTGTGCCATTCCAGCTGAAGCCGTGATGTGCATGCCTGTGTTTGAGGAAGAGAGGACGAGTCCGGGAGCCGTGGATCTTCAAGGAAAGGGGGATCAGGACCAGGTCAGCATCCGGAGCCTCCACATGGTCACTGAGGTATGTGGGGCCACCTCTGCTGCTTATGATGGAGGGGAGAGACTCCAACATGACTTTCACAAACCCACTGACAATCTCAATGTATCTACCCCTAAAACATCTACAGAGCTTGCTGAGGAGCCAGCAACAGGGGTGACTAAAGAGGCAGCAGCAGCAGGGGCAGATGCAGGGGCAGCAACAGGCAGCATAGCAGGTGCCTTGAGTGTGGCAGCAGCCAAGTCTGCCCCTGGACAGGTGAGCACAGCCATCGCCGGGGCAGCCACCATAGGTGCAGGAAGAAACAAAAGCAACATGGCCCTTGCAGGAATTGCCATCATGGCTCCAAAGAGCACGGAGGTGGCTGTGGCAGGGGCAGGCAAGTCCTTAGAGTGCGTTTCCAGCGCATCCACAAGGCTTTCCCCAGAGGGCAGCGTGACTCTGGCCATCGCAGGAGTAGAACCGACCAGCAGAACTGCTGCAGAAACAGACACGGATGCAGCAGCAGGACCTCCCCTCTCCACCCAGCAGAGCAAGAGCAATCTGAGTGGACAGCATGGAATGGAGCGAACCCAGGCCAGAGCTGAAGCCCGCAGGGAGAAGAGGGAAAGAAAGGAGAGAAGGGAAAAGGACGGGGCTCTCAGAAGGAGTTCCCATCACCGCAGGACAGGCGAAAGCTGCCACAAGACAAGGGGGGACAAGATTGCCCGAAAGTCCTCCAGCAGGTCCACATCCAGCCACAGAGCCAGTAAAGATGACAAAAAGAAGAAAATCCATGACACCCCAGGGAGCGGCTCGCATAAAGGCGCTAGCCACACGCCCATCTTGAAGGAGTCCAGGACCTCTCACAAATCCGGGAGGAGCTTATCGACCACCAGTTCCGGTTCCGGCAAGAGACTCGACAGAATCAGCTCTTTCCTGAGGAACGTCAGAGCCAACCTTACTACAAAAGCAGTGGGTGCACCACATGGCAGAGATGTGGACATCATGGCTAAGACAGTGGAGAGGAGCACCATGGTAACCAGCACCAAGACAGCAGAGGGTGGCCAGGAGCTGGAGATGGTTGGTTCTATGACATCTGACATTATGGACAGGACCTTTGAAGCCCATTAAATAGGACCCCGAGCTGGAAGCTGCAAAGTGGTCCAGAGCTCATGGGAGTGTCCAGCACTCTTTTCTGCCGTTTAAATAAAGAACCATACATCTGAGAATGGCTTGTTGGCTGAATTTTTGTATCGCAGCCCAGCAGCGACCTCACAATGGATTCTGTGATGTCAACTGTGCTGCAGCCTGAGACCCCAGGAGCCAGTCAAGGTGAGCCCCACCTCACACTCAGGCTCAGCAGAGCCCAGATGAGTGCTCCAGCTTTCCTCAGCCTCTTTCTGGCTTTGGTTCCCAGGACTATAGTCCACCATCTCCCCATCCTTTTTATAAACTTACCCCACCAACTCCGGAAGATCCATAGACAAAGCAAGAACAGAACTCTTGCCCCTTGGACTATTCAGGGGAGGGAGTAAGGGAGCAGCAGCATATGTTGGCAACCAGAGCAGGGAGGAGCACTGTCTAGACTTAGCAATCCCACTCCTAAGTATACCCCTGAGAAACACACATGTTCCAGGAGACGGCCATGAGGATGTTTATAGCAAAATGATACTAGAAACTGTCTAAATTTCCATGAACAGAACTGAGAGGGTTATATGCATGAGAAATCAATGGCAGCTACACATATTAGCACAGATACATTTTGCTCGTCATGTTAAAGTTTTTAAAAAAGCAAATTGCAAAATAAGATATAATTCTAAAAAACAAGATTAAATAAATACAAATAATATGTTACATATTTGATACATGTTTGGTAAAACAAAACCAAGGGAATGGGGAACAATTTGGGACAGTGGTTTTCTCTGGGGTGGAAAGGCAAGAGACTGGATGAAGGAGGCGAACACAGGCTCTTACTGATGTTGGGAATTGTTTCAGTTCTTAAGCAAGGAGGTAGGCACAAGGTTGTTTATGATTTTGTTGGGTTTTGCATTTCAATATTGTGTTTTGTATTTTAATACCTCTGGAATCAGAATGGCCCTACAATCACCATGGCAATTCTCATTGCCCCAGACATAACTTCACCAATTCCTTCTCCTCAATCCTTTCATTTTTATATATGCACAAGAGTGATCGAAGCCTGAAAGGCTCATTTTGTTAAGATTCAGATGTGAATGACATTATTACAAAAAGCCTTGGGAAAGAATGCTACCCCGATTTTACAGAAAAGGACACTGAGGCTCAAGAGGGTAACTTGAGAGGGACAGAGAGGGACCTTTGCAGATCTACCAGCCCACTTCTTTATGCAAAGGTCTGTCTGAGACGTGGGAAGGAGGCAAAGCCAGCAAATCCCGGGAGAATTTGGCAACGCAAGAACCTGAGACTTACCAGGTTCCTACCACCATAGTCTAAAACTGTATGGAGATGAGCACCAAAATTCCTGGATTGAGGGGTGTGGGGGCAGGAGATGCCTGGTGGTGTGGGGGCAGGGGAGATGCCTGGTGGTGTGGGGGCAGGGGAGATGCCTGGTGGTGTGGGGGCAGGGGAGATGCCTGGTGGTGTGGGGGCAGGGGAGATGCCTGGTGGTGTGGGGGCAGGAGATGCCTGGTGGTGTGGGGGCAGGGGAGATGCCTGGTGGTGTGGGGGCAGGAGATGCCTGGTGGTGTGGGGGCAGGGGAGATGCCTGGTGGTGTGGGGGCAGGAGATGCCTGGTGGTGTGGGGACAGGGGAGATGCCTGGTGGTGAGCCGCTGTGAACTGGCTTTGGAACTTCAATGAGCTCATAGTCCTTAGCTGGCCTTATCTCAAGAGTGTCCAGACCACCCTTAAGCCGTGTCTGGCTCCCAGGCTTCGCTCCTCAGATTCTGCCTCAGCTATAAACAGACCTCCCTCCTGGAATTCCAGGCCTTGCTCCCCACCAGGGACCGCTTCTGACGGGGGTTGCATCTCTTCGCAGCCCAGTCCTCCCTGAGCTGCTAATAAAATGCTTAAAAGTCAGGCTCAGAATGGCTTCTCCATACCAGATCTTCAGGAAATTTCTTCTGCTGGGATTCCAAAAGCAATTAAACCACACACGAGGGGGTAAGGAGTTAGGTCACAGCATCCTTGCTACTTGGACCTCCACAGTTAATTCCTAAAGCTACTTTTGAAAAGGTAAGGAGAGGTCTCTTCTGTCCATAGAGGGAATTGTAGGCATGGACTGGGGGCAGGAATCCATGAAATAAAGGGAGTTGAGACAGAAAGAAGGCCCAAGACCTACACACAGCCACCATTTCCTTCTGCAAAACAAGGCTCCTGACCCCAGGATCAGGAATTATTGGAGTGAGTCAAGTTATTCTTAATAAAGGGGGCAACATGCCAAAGATTAGATATGAATTGGCTCTGAGGAGAACAACCTCAGAATCATTAACCCAGAGCTCTAGAGAAGACACGGGGGGCAGCAGGGAGATGAATTAATGGTTTACTCTTGACCAGCTTTTCCGTGAACCAAGGTGGGGAAATTACAAAAAGATCACATCCCATTCCTTTAATCTTCTGATTTCCACACAGGCAAGTGTAGGTAAACACTAGAAGACAAAAATGCAATAAAAATATTTGTACAGCCCCTAACAGTTTATAACACCCTTTCATTGTATGTTCTCTTCTGATTCTCACACCTCTCCATTTCACAGATCAGCAAACTGGAGTTCAGGTCATCTAAAGGACTTGCTTAAGGTGGGAGGTGATGGGGCAGAGGAAGCAACTCCAGTGCAACAGCTTTCGGGCAGCACCGATGTGTGCTGGTCACAGGTCCCACATGGAGGTACAGGGCCAGTGGAGGACACAGGACAGGCCTGTGTAATTATTGCAATTCTGAGTGACAGATACAACGAGAGACACATGTTAAGGGAACGGGATTTGTTCAGAGGAGGAATACTGGGACCTGGGTCAGGAAAGGCTTTGCAAAGGAAGTGGCAGTTTTGAAGGATAAATAGGGCTGTGCCCGGTGATGAAAGAACGGGGAACAAGGGTAAAGGTGGAGGAGGGGTGGGGTGAGGGATGGAGAGAAGGAATTGGGCCATGGAGAAGAATGTGTGCAAAGTACAAAGGCTTGAAACATCACAGTGTGTTGGGGCGATTTCTGGGTGGGAGGGCCAGGGGACAGGAGGGACATGGCAGGAAAATCAAGCAGCTGGATCTTGGGGCCATGGGGTGCTGTGTGAACATCGGGCTTTTGGGAGCCACTGGAGGCTGATGTCTGAAGGGAGTGAGGGCTGTCTGGCTCCAGGGTGGAGACTTGATGGGCAAGGGGCTCCCTGGAGCCCGGGACCCTTCAGACAGCTGTTGCACTAATCCTGACCAGAGATGGGAGGCCCTGAACCTAGTTGGCTGTGGGGAGACCAGGAGGACAGAGTCAAGAGGTGTTGAAAAGATGAAACAGGACAATTGTCCTTTCCATGCCCCGACAGATGGGGCACACAGGGAGTAGCCCTGGCACTCTCCTAAAGGAGGCAGAACTGACAAAAGTGGAGGCATCTTCCCTCTACCTTGACTGTTCTGTAAAGGGGGCGGCCTGCAGAGAAGCTCATGGCAAGCAAGGAGGAAGATGTTAAGGTGTGAGACAACAGCTTCTAGACCCAGGAGGGGCAAAACAAGGATAAGGCAGCCGGGTGGGGCTGTGGGGCTTCAGCGCCAGAGACCTCTGAGAGAAGAGGCCTCCCAAATGCTTCCTTTCTCATCTGCTGGGAGCTGGGGTCAGATGCTCCCAGTGGACCTTTCTCGGTGGGGCATGAGTCGCCCAGTAGAGCCCCTGGTGGCCATATGCTGTTACTGCAGGTCATGGCTAGAAGAAGGGGAGCCAGGACTGAGGCTGAGACAGTAGTCACTCTCCCGCTTTGTCACACCACAGTCAGCCTTGTGCTGATTCACCTGTAATCAGCCCAATCCCAATCAGGCTGCTGCCTGCAGCCACCCCGAGCAGGCAGCACCAGAGCTAGGAGCTGGTAAAGATGAGTCTCATCCAGGCAGCATGGCTCTAGTCTCCCGGCGGTAGGGTGACAGAATATAGAACAGCAGCAAGACAGGTCCTCTGGGAGGCTGGGATCCCAACTCAAGGAGACAATGAGTGACTGCCAAGAGTCAGGGTGGGGTGGAGTTAGTGTCGGGGTCCCTCTGCAGCCTGGTAGTTATTTGAGAAACAATTGTTGAGCATCTACGATAGGCCAAGACAGGAAATCAGGTACCACGGAGATGCCGCCACACACAGCAGTAACACAAACCCAAGAGAGGAGTGGCTCTCAGGCAGCATGCAGAAGGAGGCTTTGTAGAGAGGGGAGGTCTAAGTGGAGACAGCAGGCTGAGCGCTCCTGGCAGAGGCTCTGGCACAACAGGGAAAGAGAAGGGTGTGGGTGACGTGGGTCTGTTCATAGATGGCAGACAAGCGCAGCATGCTGGGTGCAATGTGTGATGTGCTGGAGGAGAGCTGGGGGTGAGGGTGAACAGTGGGAAGGAGCATGAGGGTGTGGGGAAAATGAGGCTGGAAGGAGGATGAGACCTGGAAGGGAGGTGGAACTGACTAAAGCAGAGCATCTTCCCCCTGCAGGGACTGTTGGTTTGTAAAGGGGACAGCAAGAAGAGAGGCTCACGGGAAAGCAAAGAGTGTGGCTTTCCAGGTCTCCATTCCCGAATGCTGCACAGCTCCCCTGAGTCCTGTGATTTTCACTACCCGAATGGGAGCTATAGTGCAGGGGTGAGGGGTGTGCACAGCTGGGCTCTCCAAGAACAAAAGGGCAAAGGAAGCCCAGACTCTTCCCCTTTGTCAGTTTACAGAACCTGAAATGTGTTGTGGAGCCCCATGTCTTCCCCCAACTCTCTAATTGGAGCTTTCCCACAGATGTGCCAAGGTATTGATCTCTCTCTTTCTGGGGGTGGCTGAAGGATGAGGCCAGTCAGCACTGACTGCCAGGAGCCCCATCTGGTATGCCAGTGTGCCATTCCAATGTTGTCATTTTCTGCATATGCCATGGTCTGCAAAAGGTTGGGAAGCATCTGTGTAGACACGCACACAACACAGTGTGTGTGAACTCTGAGCGCAGCAGCCAGGAGCAGTCGAGAGGCGCCTTCCTTGGAGAGCTGACCTGTTCCTCACAGCATCAGTTGATGCCAATCATGTCACCCCTGTTTCCTTTTCCCACTGATATTGGCATAGCCCAGAACCCTGTCCTAAAGCAATTTACACTGGATCAAGGAGAGATGAGAAAAATGTGGGAAAACGTAGTACATTTTTCATAAAACTTTTTATAAAGTTAAACTTACTTTTTAAAGACCTGTCTGGTCTTTAAAGACCTGCCTATGGTGGCTCACATCTGTAATCCCAGCACTTTGGGAGGCTGAGGCAGGCAGATCACCTGAGGTTAGGAGTTCAAGACTAGCCTGGCCAACATGGTGAAATCCTGTCTCTACTGAAAACACAAAAATTAGCCAGTCTGGTGGCTCATACCTGTAATCCCAGCTACTCAGGTGTCTGAGGCAGGAGAATCACTTGAATCCGGGAGGTAGAGGTTGCAGTGAACTATTGCCTGGGCAACAGAGCAAGACTCTGTCTCAAACCAAACCAAACCAAAACCAAAACAAAACAAAACAAAAAAAGAAAAAGAAAACAAAAAAACCTGTCCTTTGCTTTGAGACCATGTCCTTCCTCCTGTGTTTTAATGTTTTATTTTGAAGTATAACACATATGCAGAATAGTGCACAGGTCAGAAGCATACCACTCAATGGTATTTCCCAAAGTGAGCAACCCCATGCAACTAGCACCCAGATGAAGAACCAAACATCACTGCACATCCCAACACCCCTCTCATGTTCTCTTTCAGTCACTACCCCTAAGGGTAACACTATCCTAACTTCCAACACCGTAAGTTCATGTTGCTTCCTTTTCCCACTTTATATAAATGGAATCACATAATATGTACTTTTTGGACTATGGTTTCTTTCAACATCATGTTTATGAGATTTGTCCTTGTCTTTTTTGGCAATAGTTCATTCATTCTCTTTGCTATACAACATTCCATGGTGTGAATATGCTATAATTTATTCATTCATTCTGCTGTTGATGGGTATTTGGGTTATTTCCACTTTCTGGATACTAAAATATTGCTGCTTCTTCCTTGACTGGAGCAAAAAAAGAAAAGATTACTGCTGTGGACATTTGTACACAGATCTTTTGGTTAAAATGCTCGTAGATTTCTCTAGGGTGTATAGTTAAGAATATAATTGAACAGATGCACATTGCCAGCTTTAGCGGATACAAGCAAGCTATCTCCCAAAGGGGCTATGCCATTTTACACTGCCACCAGGAATACATGAGAGCTCTGGTTGTTTCACATCTTTGTCAAAATTACAGTGTTTTTCTCGTTCATTTTAGCTCTTCTGGTAGGATGTAGTACCTTTTCTCCCTTTTTCCTGATAAAACATACTTTAAAAAATACAATATGGCTGGGTACAGTGACTCATGTCTGTAATCCTAGCACTTTGAGAGGCTGAGGTAGGAGGATCACTTGAGCCCAGGAACTTGAGACCAGCCTGGGCAATATAGTAATGATATAGGAGTTAAGGAGAAATTACTTAGGCAGATACTGAGGGCATGGGAGTCCTCGATGAGGTTTTTCTTTTAATGAAAAAACAGCCCCCAAATCATTTTCTTCTAACCAAGAGTAGCCTGTAAAATCAAGCTGCAGACATAGACAAACAAGCTGGAAGCTTGCACAGGGGAATGCCAGCAGTTGTGACAACAGAAAAAGGCTACCTGGGACTAGGTAGGTTCAAAATGGCAGTTCCATCTTCCCTTCCCTTTGTCAAACCACAGGTACAGTAAGGAGAAGACAATATGACACCAGCCAAACAAAGACTCCCAATTTGCATAATAAGATTATGGTGGGGCGAGCAGCCTTCCCCACACACTATGTAAACCTCATACTGGTCAAACCAATCTGTGGGCCCTATGTAAATCACACACTGCCCGCTCAAGCAGACACAGAGCCAAGCAATTGGGAGCCCATCTGGTGTTTCTCTCCAAGCTCTGCAGTTTTTCTATGGCATCTTATCAGGGCTGCTGTGTGTCATCATAGCCTCTACTGATGCTTCCTCTCTGCCAGTCACTCTTCTAAGAACTCAGGTGTAGTCCACTCCAGGCTGGGTTTTCCCCTTTGGCAGCCCCTCTCTTTTGTAAGGGAGAGAGCTGTTCTCCTTTCTCGTTCTTTTGCATATTAAACCTCTGCCCCTAAACCTACTCCTCGTGTGTCCATGTCCTTAATCTTCTTGGCTCGAGATGATGAACCCAGGTATTTATCCCAGACAACAGCACTGCTTCGGTGAGACCTCACGTCTACTAAAAAAATTTTAAAAATGCGTTGGGCATGGAAGTGCATACCTGTATTCCTGGCTACTTGGGAGGCTGAGGTGGGAGGATGTTTTGAGCCTGGGAACGGGAGGTTGCCAAGATGAACCAAGATTGTGCCACTATACTGCAATCTGGGTGGCAGAGTGAGACTCTGTATCAACACAAACAAAACCAAAAACAATAGAAGATAGTAGTTTTATACTAAAATCCTTAATGGGCAAATTAAAAGTTGGCTTTCAGATTGCTTTTGAAATTTCATACCTCTTAAAATCTTGAAGTCTTATTTTTAAATTTTAAAGGATTTTTCATTGCTGTTTGAGACAAGAGTTTAAAAAAAAAATTTCTACCATCCTGTTCCAGTACGTTTTTGTTTTTTTGTTTTGTTTTGTTTTTGTTTTCTTTGAGACAGAGTTTCACTCTTGTTACCCAGGCTGGAGTGCAATGGCATGATCTCTGCTCACCGCAACCTCCGCCTCCTGGGTTCAGGCAATTCTCTTGCCTCAGCCTCTTGAGTAGCTGGGATTACAGGCACGTGCCACCATGCCCAGGTAATTTTTTGTATTTTTAGTAGAGACAGGGTTTCATCATGTTGACCAGGATGGTCCTGATCTCTTGACCTTGTAAAAAAAAAAAAACTAGGCACAAACACAGCAGGAATTTGGGTAGGGCTCAGCTAGGTGATTCTTCTGCTCCCTGTGGTATAAAGTGAAATTGATCAGTAATACTTAGCTGGAGCATGGGCTGGTCTGGAGGGTCCAAGATAGCTTCATTTATTTATTTGATAAACCTTGAGGGAAATGACTAGAAGGCAGGGTTCAGCTAGGATTGTCAACAACAACGCCTATGTGTGGCTTCTCCAGCATGACAGCCTCAGGTTTCCCGCAGAACAAATGTCTCAAAGTAATAAAGGGAAGCTGCTTCTGACCAAGTCTCAGAAGTCACTTGGAATAACTTCTACCACATTTTATTGTTCATGCAAATCTTCAGGCCAGCTCAGATTTAAAGGAAAAGGAACTAGACTGCATTTATCTTGGTAGAGAAATGTCAATATCACATTGTGTAAGAGCATGTGGGATGGCAATACTATTGTGACTCTCTTCGAAAAATACCATTTGCCACACCCTAACTATCTACACTGTCCCTAAGCAAGTAAACTTGGCCAGGATGTATCTGAATAGTGCTGAGAAATTGCAGCGGACATCTCTAGCTTTGGTACTTTCCTTATCTCCCTCTTTCACACTCTGCCCTCTTCTACCTTTTCACTTTATTTTCTTACTTTCTTTTCTTTCTCCCACCCTTTTTGTTAACTAAACTCACAAGGATATTTCGTAGTCCGTTCCTCCCCATCTCTCCTATACATCTGTAAATCTTTTATCCCTGGGTGACGTGGAGATTATTAGGACACTTAGACTATAGCATGTCAGGCTTGGAAGGGTCTTGACTAATCCCAGATGTACTTTTACATATGAGGAAGTTGAGGCCTAGAGAAGGGACTTTCCCAAGGTCCTACTTCAAGTAAGTAGCAGAGTGCTGGCTAGCACGACATAAATCATGGCCTATAGTGGGTCTCAAAGAATGTCAACAGCTTCCTTTCTGTTTTGGATGCCTGGAACTAAAGCCACTTGTTTCCGTTTCACATTAATTGCTCATAATTCCAATGTCTTTAGGCCTCTTGGTGAAGGAATGAAACCAATGCTAACAGGCACCCCTGTTCCCAGAGAGGCCTGTCCCAGCCTTGGCTCTGGTCCCAGTCTTCAGAGATGGATGAGTGGGTTGTCAGTGGAGCAAGCTGAGATCACTGCAACAGCCCTGCACCCAGACCCTGACACCCCAACACAGCGGCTGCTCCTTTCTGATGCTGAAGTCCAGGGATTCTCTGAACTCTAACATCAACTGGCAGCCTCTAGACCACTTTTGAAATCTTCTGGGCATCTAGGGATGGTGAATTTAGCTTATAATGACTGCAGTCAGGCTGAGGGTCAATCTGAGGCGATACAGGCTAAGAAAACACAACTCTCTGGCCAGGCCCAAGCAACAGCAACTCTGTCGTGTTCAAGCCTGTTTCCTCTGATAACAGCTCCAAACAGGCGGAAGCTCAGGGTGGGGGTTAGGGGAGCCCAAGCGGGCCCAGCAGCCATCCCATAGCATTAGCAGCTAGATCTTGAGAGGAAGAGCAAGGCTGGGGTAAACACAGGGGGTTGGCACCGTGTTCTGGAATCTGAATAGTGATGTGAAGAATGGCCTTCTAAGGAGCCTCCCAGAACTTTTTTTGTTTTTTAATCCACCAGTGCATCGCTTTTAGCTTCAAGACAGCAGCTCTGCAAATCAGTGATAAGCTGAGAGTGCCACCTGCGTGTGCTGTCAGGGACGTCACCATGGGGCCACAATGAAAGTCTCAAGGCTTCTGTGTGCCTGGGGCAGGGGGAGAAATAGTCTCCATGGACAACTCTGTTGATAAGAAGGGACTGAAATAATTATTTTAATTGGGATAGGCTGCAACCTCCTTTACAGAAGTGGCTGTGTTTCTGGGTATCCAGGTCTACCACAGTCTGGCACATATTAGGAGCTCCACAAATATTTGTTATAAAATCCTTCTGCTCCTGCACCCAGGCAGATGGCCTCCTTCCAGCAGATCTCCGCTAGCTCTGACAGGAAGCTTAGGGCAGGGAGAAACCCTGCTAAGGATTTTTGGTTTCTCCTGCCCACTGATCAAGACTAAGAAACCCTCCCCAGGAGCCCTTGAAGTGGAGTGGTAGAAACGAGTCATGGAGGGTCCCATGCCTTGCTTTGTGCCAGGGTCCCTCCTTCCAGCCCATGGATTCTTTCTCTCCAAAAAAAGAAAGGGGCAATTTCTTTCCCTTATACTCCCCTAAAAAGGAAAGGAAATCTGCAAACAGGAAGAAACATCGCTAGGCCAGAGGAAACATCACCAACTAACAGTGTCACTTCCCAACCTGTGGTTGGCCAGAGCCTGAACCTGGCCCTCATCCACACAGCCTGCTGCCGTGGCTGCAGCAACTCAAGTTGAAATTGTAAGAGCAGCTGCCACATCGGGCACAGAGCCAAGCAATTGGGAGCCCATCCGGTGTTTCTCTCCAAGCTCTGCAATCTTTCTATTGCATCTTATCAGGGGCTGCTGTGTGTCATCATAGCCTCTACTGAGTTCTTCCTCTCTGCCAGCCACTCTTCTAAGAACTCTACAGTGATTATTGTGCTTAGTTCTTTCTCCACAATTCTATGAAGTAGGCATTATTATTCTCATTTTACAGGTGAGGAAATTGAGGCACAGAGGAGTTACCAGAACTTACCCAAGTCCCCTAGAGGTGGGATTAAATCCCAAGGGGCTGACTCTGGAGCCCACACTCCTGGCCCCACCATGGGCAGACTCTGCAAAGTGCATGGCCTTAGAGGCTTCCAACCTATACTGTACTGAGTGGCTGGTCTCCAGTCAGCAGTTAATAAGCTCCATGCATGAGAGCACTGGGTAGCATACCAGATGCCACTGTCTCCCCTGGCTGGGGGTCACTTCGTTTCTGCCATAGGCATTGCCTTTCCCTCAGGCACAGCAGTGTGTTGGCCACCGGGAGAATGAACTGTGTGTGTGGGTGGTGGAGCAGCTTGTTACTTCTAGAAAAACAACTTCAGTCCCATCTCACTGTCATCTGCTCCACCTGGAGTCACTTTCAAATCTGTGATCTGTACCTGTGGGCTCTTTGTGACACCACAGACAGTCCCAGGACAGACTCCAGCAAGAAACCCTAGTCTAACATAACCTGCCTGGCAAAAGAAAATAGAAAGGTTTTTTTCCCCACCCCCTGGGGAAACTGCCTGACCATACACTCTCTGCTTTTAAACAGAAACTTCCTAGATCACACGTCCCCCTTCCATTCTCAACTAGCCATGCAATGCTTGCCTCTGCTTCACCCCACTCTTGCCTGCTTTACCTCTCCTATCTGGCTCTCCCGTTCCTACTCTACAGGTCCACTTCCCACAGGCTGTCTCAATCCCGAGTCAGATTCTTGGTCCTCCTCCTTCTGCATCTACTCCCACCCCTGTACCCAGTTCACTCCCTTTCTCCACACACCATCTTTATTCCAATTCCTTGCTGTTTCTTGGCTTCCTTGCCTTCTTGCCTTTACCCAAATCTGAGGCTCCCTCCTCACCCAACACCTACCCCATCAAACGCAACTCCCTCACCTACCACATAACTGTAATCCTCTCTCCTAGGCTCCAACACACAGAGGATGAAACCTCAGGATGCAGACAACAGAGGAACCCCTGGCAGGCTTCTCAGCAGGCCCAGGGTGAAAATCTGCTGGCCAAGGGGATGAGGAGACCTGTTGCCTACAACTCAGTGCTGTGCTCTCTGAGGCTGACGTTGTCTTCCTCTGCCATTCCCAGGGGCACAAAAGCTTAAGCCTTTTTGCATTCATTCCCTGGCTTGCTTTGACTGGGAGTCCAGGACTTGGTAGCATGCTAATTTATGCAAACCAAATGCAAATGAATATAGAAAACTATGTGACCCTGGATTTACTGGAAATCAGAGGCTCCCCTTACGGGAAGACTCAGGGAAATTTTGGAATCTACTTCCCAAGAGAAATATTAAAATAGAATGGCTTTCAGTTGGGGGTCAGGGAGGGATGTGGCTGGAAGTCATTCAGAGGAAAGAGTGTGGTCTGGGTTCCGCATGCATCCTCTAAGCCACCCAACAGAAGGCAGAGGAAGAAAAAGCGTCTGGCTACCAAACCTGTGCCTCCCTTCTCCTGTCTTGACTCTGAGCTCTGGTTCAGCTCCACACCCTGTCAAAACCACCGGACAGTGTGCACGCCTGAGAACACAGCCCCTGGGCTGTACTTCCTCTTTGGAAACAGACATTTTATTTACATCTTACTTCCCATGACAGCACTTTCCTATTCTCCTCTCCCCCTACATCTCCCTACACTGACCTTCTTGTACTTGACTCTTGTTGGGTATGGCCGGTCAAGTGCCCAGAATGTTCTGGGACATTGTTCTGGAACCTGGTCAGGGGCTAGGCATTCTGGAGGTTCCTATAAAGCAAGCCTCAAAGGATTGCTAAGGGGCAGGTCAACTCAGCCACAAAGGCTTAGGTGCCTCATTTCCTGAAGAAGGGAGAAAAGGACCACTCCAAGA